ACAATACATATCTTTACATTTTCTCAAAATCAGTTTTTCTATTATACTCTGAGCCTGACATCTCCAATACAGTAGCTAACTATATTCTGATTGTTCTTATAGAGGTTGTTTATATATCATTCAATGCCTGATTTATATCACATTTTTCTCCTAAAAACATTTTTGTATTTATGGAGCGATTATCCAAAATCTAAAATGAAGACACTAATATGTCAACAAAATCATGTGCGACTGCAGTAATTCAATATTATTGCTATCAAGAAATAGCCCATGTGAAAAACAGGGACATACTGTGTGAGTCTCATTGATGCAATAAGACCGTATCTGGTGCAATAAGAAAAAAGGATTGGCATTGACCGGTGATTGTGTATCTTTTTTCAGTTTTGGTCTTAACCACCACTAAAGCGCAAGGATCTTGAATCACTTAAGTCCCACCCATGGCCAAGGTGACCCTGAGGGAGTGTACTGTAACTCTAGGACGATGACGAATGCTTTACTGTCAACCACAAAGACAAGACGTTCCACTTCTGACAGTTACGTGTCTGTCCATTTGTTTGTTTGGTTCGATGGTGAAGGGCTAGGGAGGCAGTATAGATTGCCACCTGTGACCTTGTAAAAGAGAAGAAATTAAAAATGTATGTGAGAAATTTGACCACTTGTCTTCTGCTATTCAGAATCTCCAGAGTGCATCAATTATATTTCCTCCATATTTCTGAAACAATTGTTCAAAGACTTGAGGTGTCCGCGGTTATGGTTAGGTAACAGAAGAGTGAGCCGAACTGTGTTAAACTGATTTATACAGTATATCCGCGATGACATTTCTCATCCACATGCAGATCAGGTTTTACATTAAACTGTAAAGCAATCAGTCAGCTCAACACTGCACCACATCAGTCCCGGTGGTGCAGGGTGACACACAGTCCATAAGGTGAACAAAGAGTCACACACACTTGCTCACACTGCGCTGTACATTTGAAGATCCCACATAAAGGATTAGATTTGTGCGGTTGCTATGCGAGTGTACGTTATAAAGAAGAAAGTGTTGACCCCCGTGCCTCTGGCTGAATGAGCAGATCAGAAATAGCTGTGTAATGTGAGGGGCAGCTGTGATTTTGAGAGTGTGTAAACAGGCTCAAACATGCAACGACAGCGTAAACAGGTGCCCTGAACACACACACACACACACACACAACCTCTGATAAACATTCCAGCACAAGGCCGAGCCCACTCCTCCTTTTCCTCACACCCTTCTTCTGAAACTCTTAAGACTCCCAAACACTTTGATTGCGAGATCCACTTACACTTAACAGGCCTGTAGTGAAACATTAGTGGGAGGTAGCGCTCTGTCAGATATGGATTGTGCTGTACAGAGGATGAGGTCACCGAGCTAATACATAGCTGCTCTGCCTCACTGTCACTTTTCTAATTAGAACGACAGGCTGGGTCGTATCGCTCCAGAGTTAAGATCTTAATCTCCTCAACAGGATTGATGCTGATGTTTTGTACCCAGTGGACATAAATATTGACACACGTATCCAGATGTATATATGTAACATGAGGCTGTCCCTCTGTCATACATGGCAGGTGATCTGCTGACCTTGGTGAGGACAAGTTCACGCACAGGGCGAGGAGCTGCATGTGAGGGGTGGGTGATCGGGGTGGGGATTCGGTACATTGTGTTGGAGCGTTGGAGCTCCAGCATCACCAGCAGTTGTCGGCCTGGTAAGCCCGGATCGGTATGATGAAATCACGGGCAGCTGTTGTGTGGCATGGCGAGACCAAATTCACCAGGGAAGCGCCAAAATGGATGCCGACCACATAGCTCCACCACAGTCCTCTGAAGCGTGTGGTGGGAAAAAACAGAGCTATGTTAGGGGGGCCATGGCTCCATTAGGGGCCATCAAATATTCATCTGCCATACGGCACTGAGCCCGTGGCTCCATCCTCACAGCACCGTGCAACAAACCATGAAAACGGCTCCTGAAAAACAACAACAACACAGTGAAGAGCCTGCAGTGCAGAGCTGAGAAACGGCTCTAATTATCTTTCACCTCACACCAGGAAACAGATTTATTTATTTAGGACTGCTTGCAGAACAAAGAGCATTAGGGATGCACCAATCTGACTTTTTCAGTTAAAAAAAACCGATACAGACTGGAGAGTGGCAGAGACTGGCTCTTTTATTTTTAATGCAACATCAGGCTTGACTTAGACATTGATTTCCTAACTTTGGAAAACAAAATGTAACGAATGCATAGAATGAATGCATAGATAAACAATCACTGTATGGAGCTGCAACTATCAGACAACAAATAAAATACATAAACACATTTGAACACAAAGCTGTTTACAGCCTCTCAAATGTGCAGATTTTCTGTTTTTCGCTCTTTTACATCATATTAAACTCAATATTATTTTGGGTTTGACTGACAAAATGAAACAAACTGGGATGGACATTCTGAACTATGTATTACTATTTACTAATTTTGACACTTCATAAACTGATTTTGTTTTTAAAGAAAATAACAAAAAGATTCATAAATAATAGGACTGCATTTTTACAATGAAATGAATGGCATACGGTACCCGATCCAGCTGTTTGAGTCAGTATCGAGCTGATAACCGGTGCATCTCTAAGCAAAACACAAATCCCTTAACACCAAGCATCACTAATGGCTGTTCAATTTGCTTTCATGTGACAAACTAAGCTAATGACTGTTTAATGGAGAGAGAAGTTTGTTTTCTCACATGCCCACATTATGCAGCGTTAACAACCAACTAAAGCCATTAATGAGGATAACAATGACATCACCAGACTGACCACATGGTTCAATACCTTGTGTTAACTCCAAACTGTCAATAAAAACTCCATCAATAAATCCAAGCAGGTCCATCCAGACGGCCATTGGGTCTTAAATGTGTTTAGTGCTGCTGATGGGGCTGTAATTGCCTCAGCAGGCTAGCAGGCTGGCTGTAATGGCATTATCAACCTGTTAACGACCACAGAGCAGCTCCAGTTGTTCCCCTAAAGGCTCTGTCATCCTTCAATTTATGGTCCGTTACAGTCCAGTTTTTTGTTATATATCTATAGTGCTGTTTGTTCATGGCTATTGAGCCAGAGATTGTCCAAAATAAAAAGAGCTAGTTGTATTACATACTGTGCTGAATGGTGTCAAGAAACATACCAGGAGTATTAGTATCCCATATTTCACCAGGGGGCAGCATCAACACATTTTCCGAAATAAAAATGCAGAACACCTCATTCCTCCTGGCCCAGCTCAGGTTATTTACCCCTCATTTACACCTCATTCCTCCTGGCCCAGCTCAGGTTATTTACCCCTCATTTACACCTCATTCCTCCTGGCCCAGCTCAGGTTATTTACCCGATAAACCAAGAACACAAATGAGGCACTTTTGTTGTGGAAAGATCCTCCCACTTCCTACCAGCACAAAATGCAAACATTTATGTTATCAAATACCTATCTCATTTCCTTGCTGCCTGGGCAACTGGCCGGCTGTGAGAGTCATTTGTTTATCCCATTTGCATATAAGGCTACAGTATACGAGTTTATCTTTTAACATGCATGCGACTTTTCCATTACGCTTCAGGTAGACATCAAACACAATTTGCATTCCAAAACTGTGCTTGAACTAATTCTATTTTTAAATTCAAACATTCCTGCCTACTGCAATAACTCTGTACAACAAATCACCTCTGGCTGGCAGAGAACTCACTGATAGCTTCTCTTTGGATAACTCGACACACTGTACATTTCACATTTATATTTCATTCAACACACCTAATGTAAATAATATCTTGCTTTATATTCTGTCTGAAGCACTTCAATAGGGTTTTGTTGTCAGAGTTTATAGATTTTTTATCTTCACAGTTTACTGTTTTTTCCCCTACTTTTTAATGCTGTTTTAATTCTATTTTGAGATGTTTAATTTCAAGTATTGTTGATGATTGATTGTTGATTTGTTTTTTATGATGCTGCAACGCAAACATTTCCCAATTTGGGATCAATAAAGTAAATTACACTTGTACCATCGAATCACTCGCATTGGAACTATTTGACTTCCTATTTCTTTTTGTATAAAGTATATTTAATGTTGCTCTGTTGGCAGGGCCCTTCATTTATGATGTTTATTGCCAACAACTACACCGCAGCTTTTGTGCTCTGTCTTGTATTATTGGTTGAACCAGATAAGGCGTCTTTACAAGAGTTTGAAACAAGATCATTTACTTTTAGACAGAACCAGTGTTGCTGTTTCCAGTCTTTATGTTTAGTTAACCAGCTGGTGGAATGTAATAAAGTACATTTACTCAAGTACTGTACATTTAAGGTACCTGTACTTCACCTGAGTATTTTAGGTATATTATAGATTCATTCACAATTTGGCAGCTTTAGTTACTGGTCAATTTATAGATTCACATTATGAGATAAAATAAATGATAAATCAATTAACATTTCATTTTAGTTGAAGATATCAAGAATCCATACCAAGTCATTCAAATTTGAAAAAAATAAATATGAATGCATCAACACTCCTAATCCAGTCGATTCATATATTTGATTCTGAAATGGACCATAACGAGTACTTTTACTTTTGTTACTTTAAGTATATTTGAATTGACTTTAATTAAGTAAGAATGAATGCAAGGCTTTTACTATAACAGAGCATCTTTTAAATGGTATCTGAGTACTTCTTCCACCACTGCCCTTATAATATTGTATTTATTTAGTGTTTTTTAGTAGTTGTAGTCCTGAACTCAAATAGATGAGTCTCCTTCATCAGCTCCTCCACATGTAATGGCGAAGTAATAGATCGTTACACGGGAAAAACATTAGGCGAATGTGCTGCTGGTGGTTTCATCAACCAACAGTGACTTTGTTTAATTTCAGTCCACAGCTAAATGTGGCAGGCTGCCAGCTGTTAACTGAAAAGAACAGACACATTTTCAACCCGCCCTGTATTTGCAAGGTAAATCAAGAGGCAGAACAACAGTGCTATAACGTTCAGGTACATGTAATGTAGTGGCAATGCAGGAAACAGCCTCGCAGGTAATGGAAGTTACTCTGATGTGCACTTAGGATATCTTAAGGTAATGTTCAGATAACATAATCCATAATAATATACTTTATTACTCCTCAGGATGTTACCACTGGATGTTAAGCACCGCTGGATGTTTGTAGCAGTCCTGCTCTATGGGTTATACATCAAGAACAGCGTCAGCCCAGGTGAGTACGTTTAATGAAAGTTAACTGAATTTTTTTGTATATATTTCTGGACACTTTTGATCCTCTGTTGTATGGATTAATGTTTATCATATTTGTCATATTGTATTTTTTTTTTTACAAACAATAAAGAACCTTGCAGTCTCCAAAATACCCTGTTTGTTAGTTTCAAAACGGTAGACGAACAAATCCCATCTGGTAAGCATAGCATTGTTGAAATATAAATGTTTGCAACTAAAAGGGTTAAAGAAACTTAAAGTAAAATGTGGTTTCACATCATTTTTCAGAGGTTGGTGAGCTGAAATTATGTTTCCGAATGCACCGAGGAGAGGATCCAGGTACAGTTCCCTTACTTTCAGCCTGACTTGAGTCCACTGGACAAAACCACTGTTTCTCTTGGTCATTCGGTAAACATGTGTGTGTATTATCTTTTTAGATTGTTGTGTAGAAGACTTCAACTGCACCTTTAACATAACTGGCACACGAGGAAACTACAGCCTGGTTCTGAATGAAGACATTTTTTCCAACCAAGATATTGTTGTGATAACTGTAAATCATAACTATACATGTATGCCGCCGGAGACCAACATCACATATTTAGGTATTTCTGAAAACCTCCTTCCTACAGAATGTGAATTATTTAGCCTCTCTACCTTACTCTTCATTGTATAATCAAGAGATACTTATGTAATATAAAAAGTAGCATCTGGCATTATTTTAAGTAAATGCTGCACATACAGAAAGTGCCTTTGTTAAACATTACATATAGTCTATAGAGTATGTGCACACAAATACAGAAAGAGGTCGCCCCCTGTTGGTCAACACGTTCTTTAATAAAAGTCACACAATGGATGTTTCTTCTCTTAACAAGCTTTCTTCTGTTGCATGTTTCCTTTTAGACATTCACAAGTGCTTGGGAACAGGTAAAAGCACATATTACCACAGCTATTACTTTCAATTCAGCACTCTTCACAAGGCACGTGTATAACAATGTAATGTTTTAATATGTTTAAGGGGAAGATATTCATTTGAGAAAACACAACTTCTCTGGAAATGTGTCATCATGTGATGGAAAAGTTTGCAAAGGTATTGTTATTTTTGTTCTTTATTATTTAAAATCTAAAGTACTAAACTGAGAGATGGTAGTGAAAATCGGATGTTCCTGTTTTGAGAATGAACTTGTGTGTGTTTTGATATGCAGGTGCAGCAGAAACAGACGAGTACAAGATCACAGTGGTTGATACAAATATAATCTATTGTAAGTTATGTAAGCAAGATGAAAGTCCACAAACTTCTACTGCCAAGCCAAGCGTTTCTACTACCAAGCCAAGCGTTTCTACTACCAAGCCAAGCGTTTCTACTACCGAGCCAAGCGTTTCTACTACCGAGCCAAGCGTTTCTACTACCGAGCCAAGCGTTTCTACTACCGAGCCAAGCGTTTCTACTACCGAGCCAAGCGTTTCTACTACCGAGCCACGCGTTTCTACTACCGAGCCAAGCGTTTCTACTACCGAGCCAAGCGTTTCTACTACCGAGCCAAGCGTTTCTACTACCAAGCCAAGCGTTTCTACTACCAAGCCAAGCGTTTCTACTACCAAGCCAAGCGTTTCTACTACCGATCCAAGCGTTTCTACTACCGAGCCAACCGTTTCTACTACCAAGCCAAGCGTTTCTACTACCGAGCCAAGCGTTTCTACTACCAAGCCAAGCGTTTCTACTACCGAGCCAATTATCCAGACAGACACTTCTATGATTCTGCCTGCCCCTCCAAACAACAGCCCGGAAACTGCAGCGTAAGTATTGAAAGTATTGATGGCAACAACTTCTACATTTTGGTGTGCTAGAAGTTGTGATGGTGATCAGAGTTTGCTAGCAAGAAGAAATAACCTGTGTGTTTTTCTCATTCCAGAAATGTCATGAATAATCTCTCCTCCCTGGTGGATAACATGGGCAACTCCAGCATAGCATCCATCCGAATGGGCAACATTACCGGAGTGATCGCCAGGCTACCCAAAGAAAACCAAACCGAACTCAACTTTGGCGTTTCAGCAAGTGGAGATATGCACGTATGCTGTTTGTCACGATAAGAGAGTCAAACACAACATTGTAAACAATCTTGTTTTATGATAACCAAGACGTGGTAAAAAATGTTTGTGTTTTCTGTAGATGCTTAAGAATAACAACGATTCGGGGAAAGGCTTCTCTCGGTCCGTGCAAATCCCCGCAGAGGCGAGTGCCATGGCAGTGAAAGGAAATTCTCTTTTCGCCGCGGTTCTACTGTTTCCAGGAATGTTTGAGGTAAAGATCACAAAAATGACTTTAATTTATCAACCATTTCTGAAAACTCTGATATACACATAATGATAACATAATTACATTTAAACAGTGGTGGAAAGTAACTAAGTACACTTGCTCAAGTATTGTACTTAAGTACACATTTGAGGTACTTTCATTATATACTACTTTATACTTCTACTCTACCACATTTTGGAAGCTATTTTTTACTTTTACAAATAACTATATTATATTTACAAGTTACTTTATAAATTCAGATTTTGACACACAATAGTAAGACAAAACGTTTAAAATGTAATTATTTGGTAGATTAAACCATCAAACATTATATTTAAGCAGCTAAAACCACAAATTGGTTTGCTTGTTCTTTGTTCTAAAATCAGTCACGGTTCCAGCTTCTTAAATTTAAACATTTGATGCTTTGCTATTTTCTGAGTATTTATTCTCCTAATACTTTCCTAATCGTATACTTTTACTTAAGTACGACTCTTGATGCAGTATACTTTCACTTGAAATTGAGTGTTTTTACAGTGTGGTTTCAGTACTTTTACTTACGTAAATAATCAAAATACCTTCTCCACCACTCCATTTAAACCAGAACATGTTTTTTTCTTTGCCTGTCATGACTATGATTGCTATTTCCAACAGGACAACCCCAACAGCACTTATCTCAACAATGAGGCGCTGGGAATTGAAATGGGAACAGAAATATCCAATCTCTCACACAGCATAGACATTCAGTACACTGGTGTGAACATGGTAAAAAAAAGATGATTGAGCCACTAATAAATTAATCAGTACGTAATAAAAGAATGACTTTACTGAGGTTTATTTTTGTATTTGAATACAGACTGGAAGAATTGGATCTTGTAGGTCATGGGATGGAAAAGGTAATGCAAAAATATTCTTTTGCTACTTAAAAATGTACCAAATGACACGTTTCTGTCACACGACTTTAAGTACAGTTGCTTCTTTTGCCTTTTTGTAGGAAAAAAAGTGCACTGGACCCCAGATGGCTGTAAGACAAAGGAGAATAAGGGCACCATCATGTGCCAGTGCTCTCATCTAACCTTCTTCGCAATACTAATGGTAAATTAACGTATTACAAGTAATTCCATTTCCATTATTTCACAAAAACGTAACACGTCTTTCTCTGAATCAGTCACCTGCACCTACGAACATCAGCTCTACAGATTTTAAGTCTCTGACCACCATCACTTCAATCGGCTGTGGCCTGTCCATAGTTTTCTTGACACTCGCTCTCTTCATGCATTGTCTAATCAGGTAAAGAACCACAGGGGAATTTTACATTTTTCATCATTATATTAAAGGCTTTTCCTGACATAGAACTTTCTCCTTCCACAGGAAAGGGAAAGCAAGCCAAGCAACACAGATTCTCATAAACCTCTTTGTGGCTTTGATCACCCTGAACTTGTCCTTCCTGGTAAATGAGAGTATTGCAGCCATGGGAAACTTTGCCGCATGCGTAACAATCGCAGCAGTTATGCACTACACTATGTTGGCCACCTTTACCTGGTTTTTCATGCAAGCTCTTCACCTATACTTCATTCTGTGGAAGCTTCCCACTGACGTCAAACATTACATGAGGAAGATAAGCGCCGCGGGATGGGGTAAGAACACCGAACCAGGCATTACAATTATATGTGCTTAAAGGAATATCTCACCCACAATATAGCTATTTAAATACCAATTACTTACCCAATGTTGCCTGCTATTCTCTGGCTCGCCTATACAATAAATACACAGAGAGAAGTCGAAGAAATATGCAACACACTTGGAAAAGTAGCACTCCTGCGCAATTGGAGTTGTTGTACACTTCCTGTTTATGCGGAAGTGTTTAACCTAGTAGGGATCAGTGAAAATGCATATGTTTGTAAAGAAGTGAGCATAAAACTGGATAAATTAGAGATGGATTATATGCACTTCAGTTAAAGGTTTTAAACCAATGTTTTGATATAGTTTTGCTGTTGTTAAAGACGGGCCCGTTTACTTAAATCCATTAAGACTTTGTTCTGTTTTTGGATTCTTGGATCACTGTTGAAAAAAAAGGTTTTCTTCAAAAATTCAAAGTAATATCATCATGTTGTGGGTGAAGTATTCCTTTAACATAAGCATAATAACACGATGTACACTTTCTCTTAAGTCACCCCAGCTGTAGTGGTGTTAGCTCTTGTCGCCTCAAGTCAATACGATTTCATCGCCATTTACACCGATGATGGGAATTCAGCAAAAATGTAAGGAGCTCTTACTGACGGCCAAGGATCATTTCTTATTCAGAAAGAGAGATTTGGTTCACTCACTAGTGCATCATTTCTCCTGACTTACAGGTGCTGGATCCCAAATGCTGTGATCCACCAGGGGGTGAACATTGGGTACTACGCTATAGTGTTCCTCTTCACCTCTGTCATGTTCATCGCTACTCTGCGGCAGATTGTTCTTCTTAAACCGGCAGAGAAGAAACCCAAGGACAGCAGCTCCATCAGGACCAACTTCTTCTCCATCCTAGGCCTGTTCCTCCTGTTTGGCATCACCTGGGCTTTTGCTTTCTTCAGCTACGGACCTATGCTCACGGCCTCCTACTATATCTTCACCATCCTCAACTCCTTTCAAGGTAGACTCCTAAATATCACAAAGCCATTTGAACTACAAACTTTCTACTTTTCTTTAAGTACATATTTCCAATGATTGTAACCCCTCTACGTTTGTTTTTGCAGGTTTCTTCCTTGCCATCTACTATTTCAAGTCCAGTAAGATTGTTGGAGAAGACAGAAGCTCCATGTCTTCAACAAACACCATGAGAAGCACAGCTACATCAAACACAGTTGTTAAGCCTCCTCATTGATAACACATATGCTTTTCAAGTGGGGACAGAAAGTGTTTTGGGCCTGAGCTTATTTTGACACAAGAGGGCAGCATTTTATTTGGTATAGTCAAGCAGAGCCTCTGTCGAATGGGGTTCTGGTAAATTGGCATTTAAACATTTTGGTATCCCTGACTTCCCAGCTAATCTGGATTACCTTCCTTTAAGAAAATGAGTCAAGCACTGTCACAGGACATGGAGTAATCTCCTGGAAATCATTTAGGCGGGTGACTCATAAGAAGCCCTGTCTTACTCACTGTGAAACATGCAGTAAAGCTTGTGATTCACTCAGAATATATTTCCTAAATCAAAGATGTATACACTGGAATGCAGAGTGCAAATAAAAAGAAAAGCATGACTGATGGGGTTTTCATATGGAGCAAAGATGGGCAAAACGCAGAGAAAATGAAGCGGAAGTGAAGTGTTGCCTCTCACACTCTGTTGCCTCTCACACACTGTTGGGGGCCGAGCTAGCCTGCTAGCGCTTTGCGTGCCTGCAGATAATTACCTTGTGCCTACAGAGAGCAGTATCCACTGTGCGGGGAGCCTTAACTGGCTAACAAGAAATGAGCTCATGGCTACCTATAGTGATAAGAGGCCTGAGGGCACGCTACTATGTTGAAACTATTCCCTGAAATATGGCTGTAGTTAACTTGCGTTTATACCATTTTAATAAGTTAAGTGTATCTATGCAAACTGCAATTATTTAATGAATAAGAGTGATTGGGAATTATGTACTTTTATATTAATCTATGTTTTGCCTAAAAAGGCTATACTTGATGTGATAAAGATCTTACATTTTCATTTCATAGTTCATAGCCATTCAATTGTAAAATATGAATCATGTTATATAATGTTATTCAATATAGATATACAGATGTCTCTTTTCTTTGCTATTACTTTTTTGTATATATTTAATGGAATGTGGCGGATGCAGCCCTTCAGAAAAATATTGAAATGCTTTTATGAATGAAACTGACATTGTATGGAGAAATAAAGTGAAATAAAGTTAAAGGTATCTTAATGGGACACCAGGGTAGTCTTTAATATGCAGAACTGTAAGGTTGGTGAGTTACATTCAGAGAGCAAACTCTGTTTATTTGTCCATGACCGATTAATCTTCTAAATGACCGCAGCGTGCCAGCCAGAAACTGGGGTAATTACTGCCATACACGTCTGATCTGTGTTGCCCCCAAAAAGGCCTTTCATGCAGAACACAGCGGGCTTCTGTGATGTACCTGTGTTTGCTATAGGTGCCCCATAGAAGAGTCTTCCTCTGGTAACTGAGATCACTGATGGTGAAGCTCACTGCAGAAAACATATGTCAATTTCAAGAGCTAGATATTTAGATTTATTTGCCAACATTAAGATTTATTTGAACCAATTATCGACAGCACAGCTTTTAATTCGTCAATTTACAAAATCCAAAATCTGTTTCCCACACTGAGATTATGACTTGACATATTGTTTTTGCTTTCCTAAAAACATGTCTGTATTAACAGAAGCCCCTTGTGTCGAGGCTTCTGGGAACATTTTGGCTTCATTATTTAGAAATGAGATGAGTGAAGAATGTTCAGTTTTCACGCTATCCTATAAAACTGTCTGTTAACAGTAAAAATGAGTGAAAATGTGGCGGCTAGAGTAACATTTTAACACATGTCGATGTCTCTTTTAGTGGAGGGAAACTAAGAACGCACTTTTAATTGCTCGTTCTTAAAAGCACGTGTACAGAAGTGGTTTGGAGAAGCACCAACACATTCTCATGCATCCTCATATTTTGTAAGACAGCTCAATGGCAAAATACACCATGTGATACTCCAAAAAGAAAAGAGAGAGAAATCACAGGTGGATTTTGCGGTATGCTCTTTGGAAAGATGCATAAATTCAGCCCGAGCGAGGAAATGATTCTTGGAAAAGTGAAACATTTCCACCACGTCTAGCTTCAGTTTCCATTGCTTGGAGATCGTTAGTCTTTAGTAGAACAGGAACAATAATAATAACACTGTTCCTAATCACGGCCAACGTGTGAATAGCTTTGGTTTTATGATTGGCGTACTTCAGGTGCAGGAAAAGAGACATGGCTTTGCGTGTATTTTATTAAATGTCTGGACTGAATCCTGCCCTGTAAAAAACAAATTGCCGATCTCCAATGACCTATAAAGCTTTGAGGTCTTGTTCCTGGAAGCTTGCGTGTCTGGAGGAAATATGATTAGTCAAATATAACTAACTAAATTTATCATTTATTTAACTTAATGAAAATGTACACTTATATAACTGGCTTTTATCAACTGGAAGTTACCATGAAGATAAAATCTGACCTTTCTTGCTTTCTTTCTCAAGGTATTTGCACCCCTGTTTTGCTGTTTTCTTTGGGTCAAGGCAGCCCACTTCCTTGCACCCCCTCTCCGTTCTTCTCCTTTTTCATAAATCCCCAAAATGATTTATTTCCTTGTAACTTTGCTCGTGAAGTTGAGGTGGACCCGGGGCCTTTGTAGCGTCTGGTTTCCCTGCTGGCTGCAGTAAAATCAGGCCGAGGTCCAGGAGCGGGGCAGCGCTTGCGTGACTGAGTGCACCCCCCCCCCCCCCCCCAACTCGCCTCCTTGCATGTCACTATTATGTGGCCCCCAGACTCAAAGCACTCAGGCTGATAGATTTGAGGGCCCATAGTAAAGTGTGTAGATTTATGATGGGCGGTTGCAGCATGTCAGAGAAAATGTGTTACTTTTGCAAGGAGCACGAAATGAGGCCTCTTCCTACAGGAAAACGGCAAGAGAAAAAAAATCCAAGGTGCATTCAGGTTACCGACCGTGACTTGAAACTCTCAAAACAACACGCCGCCTCACAACTCGGGAGGGGCGTCCAGATGGCTGAATACACGCCACTTGACTGAGATGAACTGTCTCGCCTGGGTCCTGGAAGTCTCTGGCTCTGTCTTTCATTTTCATCAACATCTTTCATCAGGATGGGTGAGAGTGGAGGGGTCACGGAAGGAGAGAAGTGGAAGGGAGGGTGAGGTGACTGAGGGCTCCTTCAGATTGAAAACTTGACCTCTGGATTTCAAGCTTCTCCTCCCTAGAGGTGTCTGTCTCTCCTTCTCACGTCATGTGAAGCCCCAGGAAGGTTGGATCCTCTTCATGTCAAGAAATGGGGTTCTCTTTTTCCCCCCTTGACCCTCGCGGCTACTCATCGCTCACTCAGCAGACTAATAAATGTGGAGGAAGCTAAAGAACTCTCACTCATTCAGATCTGTCCATCAAATCATCACACTTCTCACTCTATTGTGCAGCATGGACAAATATGGGCGTTTATTGCAAATGTTTTGCACGCAACAATGCAAAGAATTTTGTGGTAATTTAGTTCGACAGTCAAAAAGGACAAATAATAATAGAAACAAGATGAGAATTTATGATATGTGTTACCATACACTGTTTGAATTAAACCACTAACAAAGCAACCTTCAGTGGCAGTGAGAAAAGTTGTACATCCTAGTTGCCGCAAAGCTTTTCAGAGCAGGCTGAATAAATAAAGGCAGTTGTCAGCAACATCTAATATTGATAACACATGTGATAAATCTCTCAAATGGATTTCATTTATATGCAACATATACATATACATGCAGTAAATCGTCTTCTTAAAAGACACTGCTGCCAGAATTTCACTCTGAAGTATTTCCTCATTCAAGCAGGATTTTAACAGACCTCATAACTACCAGTTTGGTCTCACACTTTAGAGACATGAAAGCTTATGGTTAAGAAGCTAAATCTGTCTGGATCCACTCATACTGCGCCTAGTTTGCTTGCTATTGACTTGGCTGTCGTTTGGCCTTTAAAATTCACACTTGGTGAAGTTGTGGTATTTGCTACACAGAAATGGTGCAGGCTTTCCCACAACGATAAAGAGTTTACCACAGGAACTGATTCACCTGCTGGTTTAGTGCTATAGAATCACAAAATCTTGTATGAAGCACCGTAAACAGCATATATACGTTTTCTTTAGTGGCTGCAGATGTGAACTAGTTAATATATCCAGTCAGATTTATTATCAAAGAGGAGTACTAAAATAGGTATTTCATAATGTTTTGGTTATTTCAGCAAACCAACATTTCCAAAAGAAATCTTAAATCGGATTGCCATTTGCTCAAAAGAAACCCTCATTGTTTTGGATGTTACGGTGTGCAAATGACTGTTTAGTTATTGTTTGGATCGAACCATACTCAAGGATCCTTATAATACGGTTCGTAGAAAATCTTACTCAAGGTTATTTCTAAACAACTTGGTTAGGTTTAGGCGACCAAACCACTTAGTAGGTTTAGTTGAAATAACTATGGAAGAACTACAGAAGTTATGTGAAGAATAAATCATTTATAGTTTAACAGCGATCTACCGGGTCAAAATCCTTTTTTTAAAACCCACCAACCACCTGACCATTCTCTATGTCTACTTCTTCACTCTTATTACTTCACGGTAGGTAATTATATGGAAAACATGCAAATGTCCTAGGACACAAATTACAGTGCATTACTTTACGTAGTTATAAGAACAGTGTATGAGAAGAACCTGTTGTCAACAATATTGTTTCCTCCTGAAGCAGCCTCACAAAATGTGCAAAGCTATTGCCAAGTTAGGGAGCGCAGTAACAGATTTGGAAGCTAAGGAGTATGATATTTCTTTAACAAAATGGTGGAGACCAAAGCAGAGCTAAAACATATTTGAATATTGACTTGCACTCATCAGTGGCCAAATACTCATCATAAATGTTGTTCCGTTTCTGCAAGCTATTGTAAAAAATGTATATATTGACATTTGTACGGAAAGACTATGTAAATGTTTTGTTTAGAGCCGGTTTCAGTTGGCATAAAGAGGCCAACAAATCTATTACATCTATTAAATTATAATTCTTTTATTTTTAAAGTTGTATTATAAGACTATTGGGGAAAACAATCTTGTTTCCTTTCTTCTGACAAACCCACAGTGTGTGTAAGGGTGTGTTTCATGTATATGTGCGTGTCTACGGCATGTGTGCATTCTGAGACCGCAGGAATCTGATTTCATTTAAGTTATACCATTGCCCAAGCATGATGAACTCTGTCTGTTTCCTCTTTCCTACTCCTTAGGGAGCCTTTAATCACCCTACAGTGCTTTCCTCTACACAGCCAAGTGTGAGAATATATTCCTCTCCACAAATAAATGAACAAAAATCACATGATGAGACACATACGGGAATCCACTCTCGTGCCAGTCCTAATCAGATCTTGTTTGTATCTGTGAGTTTGCATTTGGGTTAGTGGCAGTTTAATGTGAAGGACCACCAGAAAAGTTTGTTTCCTGGAGCATCAGAGGAAGATTGTTTTTTCATCTTCTCCGTAGCTGTTTTTTTAATGACTCTTGTTTTTCATTTATGGCCGTCTAAGAACATAAGGATGTGGCTCGTCTAAGAAATGTGTGTATTGTCCCAATATGTGGTCTAGCTCTTTCACAAAATTGTATTGGACAAACCGCACACTTGAGATTTGATGAGTGTTCATTTCGGGGCATATAAATCTTCTGAACATCCTTCTTCGAATGGGATTGTATTCCTGCCATGCAGCAGTCGGTCAGAAATAACATGTTTAAAAAATCATCATGTGAGAATTTTGCAACCCTGTGCCGGGAATATAAGTTCTATGGACTCAAGAGGCCAAAGAGTGGTTTGACTCGGTGGGCTCCTTCCTCCTCGTTACAGACTAGTGTCTGTGTTTACAGCTAAAGCATGACTTCCAGCTCCCAGAGCCAGACAGCTACAAGTGATTCCATCCAAGCAGAGGTATCCACTGAAGTGGTGGCAGGGGTTAATCTGGAACATACTTGTGACTATGTCGGGCGGTGTTATCCTGCTGTCCCGACATCCTGCCTGATTTATGGGCTTCTTCTTGCTGCTGTTCACCGTGTCATCTCTGACTTAGAGTATTAGTGGGAAGTGACGTCGGCTGAAGTTTCATGCTTTCCTGTCTATTATCTAATTTTCAAGTTATTTGGTTTTAAGCTTCAACC